ACTACACATTATTTCCTTCGTACATAAATAAAAATTGAATCAAATTTCAGGTCGTATCTGTACATGTCGACATACTCGCCTGGGTTCTCCAATGTAAAGTAGCGCCAATGCTGCGTGTGCCGCTTTTATCTGTCATTTGTTGCGCTTCCTCTGGTTGTAACTTTTACTGATACCATTTGATGTTTTCGAATTGGTCAATTTCAATTTGTATCTTTTTATATTTTTGGTAGAAAACCTTCATTTTTCTTGCATGACACTCCTCGTAAAGTTGCTTCAGCCACACTTTGTATTTACTCGTTTGAAGCAGAACATTAAAAGGACATAAATAGATTGGTTTGCCAAGAGCCTGTCCACAACTTTTTACAATAATCAATCAAACTGACCAAAAGTGTTTAATTTTATATAAAAGTGTGTGGTCCCTTGTAAATGAAAGGATACAAAGGATAGCAATAAGGTGCACCTTCATACAATACAGAAACGACTACTTATTTTTGAGTTTTACCAAATATTTTATAAATATTTTGTATAATTTTAAGAGAGTTCATAGAATTTCACTTGTTTGATTTATAAGAAAAAAAGTATCTACAAGATTTTTTGAATATAATTGTTCAGGACACATGTCACACAATTAAATAAGACAAAAAGTTTTAATTTAAATTTAATATTCTTCAATGATATCATAAAAATTATTTTTATTAAGTCTTACAATTATTTTTAAATTAATTTAATTTGACTATCAACACATGAAGAAACTTGAGGCAATTAACAGACAAAGTATCTGCAGGATAAAATGTTATTTCTTCCGCCGGAACATGCAACCGAAATGAATGTTTAAAGTATAAAGCGGCGAAATAACTAAAATTGCCCAATTAAACGCAATTTATGAAAGATTTCCTACTAAACGATATTTTCATATTAAAGTTGGAAGTGAATGACAGCAACACTACCAGAATACACATTAAGAGATATGATAATAAAAGCGAATAAAAAAAATTAGCAATGATCAAATTGTATCTTTAAGATACAACTTGTGCCAGAAAACAGGGACATACAGAAAGAACTTGAAGACAAACTGAGACAACACAGCGTTGTGTTCGGTGCGGAAGTATATGCCACTGATTAAGGAGTACGAAATGCCGACGGTTGATGATTTGATGTATTCATATTGAAAAGGTGGTCTTAAGAAGTTCTTAAAAATGCATTATAAAATCTTATTTCCTTTTGTTTTATTTCATAATATAATTTAGGTTTAAATACATTGTGTTCTTAAGTTGCAAATCAGTCAAATAAAATAAACAAAATTCAGTGGCAGAATATATGTACAGTCGAAGTGTACTTCAGTGAATATGGGTACTTATCATTGAATATCTTAAGGAACTAGCTTTTGACTGTAGTTACAATTAAATAATTTTGATAAATAATCAAATTTTATATTTATAATGTTTAAATTTATAATGAGCTGATCACTTCTTGGAAGCAAGTAACTTCAGTTTCATCATGTCCATTATTTTACGCCATATAAACATATAAGTAATATGAACAACCTATAGAGCGGACACATATCAACGTTGTTAGTGGGATAGCTGTCACAAATTTCTTCGAGTCTCGCGTAGATCACATCATTGGTCATGTTGTGCTTATATTGTGTGGGCTTAAGCTCACAAATTATAGTGATGCTAAAGAATTGTCCCTTCCTTAATGAGTATAGTAGCAAGCCTTTCGTTCGGTTTGTGAACTGCTGGTCTGAATTTAAAAGTCTCATATTAATCACAAAACTTGCAAAATCATGTCTATTTCCATAGCAACTCTGGCAGATATCACAAACTGTTCCTTTAAAATAGTCTATCGCATTTCCTGGAAGACTGTTAAGTCAGGTTTTCCTTTATTGACAGCTTCTACTAGTTAATTAGAGGCACCTTTGTAAATTATGATCTATATATCGTTTTCGGGGGTTGTAAGCACTCGGTTGCCATATCCAAGGTTTCTTCACGTCATTCACTGACTCCTAAATTTAGTGACAGTTACCAAGTTCTATGTACAATCCAAATTTAAAGTTTTATTAAAGGCTTATTGGTACCTATTACAATAAAAGACACCAGGATTATATGAACCTATCAAAAGCAAAACTTAGAAACATTACAGCAATTTTAACAAGACACTGTAAACTAAAACACCACCTTACGAGACTGTGTATACATACAGATGTAAACTGTAGATTCTGCGAAGAGAATGGGGAGTCAAGCACACTTATGCTCTTAGAATGCCCTATACTAATGCACATACGAAATAGACTCCAGGGAATGTATATTCTTACCGAAGAGGCAATAAAACTTTGTAAAATAGCTTCTATATTACTTTTTATTGATACAACAGAGTTGAGTGAACTACTCTAAACACAGAAGGGTACACAATAGACCCATCGGCCACATCCCGTAACAATAATAACAAACTCTTTGGGATGTGACTTTTTATTATAGGTATACTATTAGTTCTTCATCCAGCGGGTATCAAGAGACTCTCCAGGAGTGCTACGTGAAGGTTATGCTATAGCTTAGATTGAGAACAATGGGGGTTCTATTGGCATTTTTAATGTGAGCTTACAGAAAAGTGAATTCAGAGTATGACTGTTCCGAAGATATGGCTAAGATGCAGCAGTCAAAAGACAACATTTGAATGAAAAAGGCAATAAAATTCGAATGAGATTCTGATTAATTTTATATTAAATTACTCAAATCTCTAAGTTGTGTATATTTTCTGTCTTAATGATATTTTGATATAATGGTACAGATAGTTATTATTATAGTTTCATTACCTACAGAAATATAAAGTGCATGTACTTCACAGCTTCTTTTATTCCAAATGCATTGTCAATATCAAATTAATGATAACGACCACCGCCAGTGACGCTAAATGAATATGGGAGGATGTCTGGAGTGAAGACTTTGAAGACTGAAGAGGTGCCTAAAATACACAAAAGCAATATTCGACACAAACACCGCCTCTGAAGTCGTGGAGTAAACAGATTCATTATCAGCAATAAATATCGAACCACAAATGATATAAAATTATATTTTGTCGAAACTACCTGAAAGGCACATGTAGTGACTCAATTTTTGAGGGTTTCAGAATTTGTCTCTGAAGATGAGTATTTTTATTTGAACTGTGGTGTCATTTAAGGTCATTATAATTTGTTAGTTTACGTTATCTTAATCCTTTTTTGAAACAACGCTTCCTTTGTAGTTATGCTGATAGCTAAATATGAAACGACTTATGGATACCAAATAATGATTCTAAAATTGATACAAACTTTTGTTGGTTTATTAAATGAGAATGTTGATTTTACTTATGCCGTCTGTTTAGGAAGCAGTTATATGGAATTGAGATAAATTTTTTTAAACTTGGTGCTTAAAACTATTCGATATATAATTATAGTTTCCTATTTCCTGTTTGTTTTATTAAGTCTGAAAGCATTTTTTACTAAGAATATTGTAATTTATATAAGATATATATGTTTGCAAATATATTTCCCCAAAAGAGACTATTAAGTGGTATTTATTCCAGTCATATGAACAAGTTTTCGGAAACATTTTATCCAACATTTTGCAATCAACCTTTTCGTATTACATTCCTCCACCCAGCCAAATGCCATTTACAGTAGTTTTCTGAAGAATTTGTTTTATGTATCTCTTAATATATAATTAACTTTATATAAATTAAGTCTTTGTTTCTTGAAAACTGCATTTCAAATTAAATTTAAATTTTATTAACCCTGTATATATTTGACGTCATTTTCATTTTTCACAGCAAGGAAACAAAAACTCCAAATAGAGAAGAAAATTACTACATAAATAGATAATTTAAGATGCCGCAAAAAAAAACTTTAACCGAAAACATGGAGTTCCACCTAAGTAGCCCAATATGTTATATTCCTTGTGACTCTAAGTATAAACGAATAATCACACAGTCAAGTTGTTTATCCTTACACATATAGACGGGAATCCATGCATGTTAAGTGATCCCATCCAATTAAGATAATAACGCAAACCAAGGTAACCATTCCCCAAACTCTATCCTGGTAAAAACATTAGTCAAATCACGTTAATTAAAATCAAATAAAAGGTAGTCGAAGAATTGTGTTATTGCTTATCGTCGTTTGTGTACAGGTTGCCGCTAGATGGCGAGCACATTTTGTTTAATAAATATAAAACTTCACCACATCTAATCCAATATCTGGTGAAAGAAACTATATGCAGAGCCTTTTGAAAACTAAAATTTCAAAATTTTATTTTTAATTATTAAATCTGATTAACGTCAATTATGAGCACGTTATAACGTAAAATAGTGACCATGTTACTATTATACTATTTTTAATAGAGAGGTTTCGAATCGTAGTGAATCACAGCAACAAAATTTTTATTATTTTAATTAATTAATTGAGTTTGGCTGACCATATAGCTGTTTCAAGCATTACCAAATATCCATCGTCTGTGATATTTTTGGAAATATTAAATGAGTAATATCCTTATTAAAAGTTTTTTTTGTAGCAGATTTAATTGAATATAAGTTTCATTGTGACTACCAAACCACTACTTAATTTTTATATATTGCATTAACTTTTTAAAAAAAACCATGTAAGCACTAAATTCAACCACAAAAAATAATAATTCATACTCAGTTTTAGATTTCTTTAAGTAATTTTTATTTAATTATCGAGAGCACATTTTCGTATATTTTTAAAGAATACTTCAAGCAATAATTTACGAATAATAAATTTTATATTTTTCGCATAATTAAATATATTTTTTTTACAGTTTTATCGACACTTCCTGTGCAATTCTTGATTATCATTACTATTGCTTAAATACTTTACTTAAATGCTTAAATGTTTATCATTATTTCACTAGGTCTTTTATATTACACGAAGAGATACATAAGCTTGACAATTTCTGCAATAATATTTACACTATAAACTTTTATAAATAATAATAAATTACGCTAATACCTAGAACTAAATTACAAACTTCTAATAGTGCTTTCCAGCAAAAGTTAAATATATATATTGTACTTTAGACATATTAAGTAAGTGTTAGTGATTCACGTTGACCTAACTTTACTTGCCGGATACATAGTTTTATAATTATTATTACAACAGTTGTAGATTTAGTAGATTTAGTTAGAATTATTTTTATGTACACAACATTATCACAAATGAGCCGCATTGATCACTGAAGAACGGTTTTGAGGATTAGCAACCAGCCGCATGTGTCTCCGCCCAAGGCTGTAAGCCATGCAGTGCAGCTAGTGGCGCGCCATTTACAGGTTGTGCGGTTAGGGGTGCTGCAGGTGGCGGTGCAAATCCTTTACTAATTGCTTCAGCCTGCAGAGAGAGCATTAAACGATTTGCAGCTTGACGTTCTGCTTCACGTTCCTCTGCGGTTTGACGTCTGTAAATAATTAAAAATTACAATTATTTAGCAGTTGCATTAAAAGGATTATTATTTTCTTTCTCTAGACGTAATAATAGATTTAAATAAATTTTAATTGGTTATTAAAATACAATCAAATCTTAGCTAAACACATTTAAAAACTATTAACATAACGATATTAATTTTCCATAATGATGAAAACATTGGAACTGTTATATCATTATCTATCACTCCAGTGAGTCTGAGGGTAGCGGAACGTTTAATTAAACCTACCCATTTTGCATATACTCATATAATATTTTGAAACAAAGTCATTAGTATATCAGTGAATTCCACAAACGAGGCTAATTCAACCACAATTTAAAACTAATCAAATCAATTATTCACAAGCAAAGCAATTACCGTGAATGAATTTTATATTAGTACCAGCATTTAAGTAAGCTCAACTAAACGTTTTCCATAGCCACCAGTGCACTCACGTCATATGCTTAATCATCGCCAGCATAGAGAATGAGAATTATTTTGTAATTAATTTTGAAAATTATTTTCAAATATGTTTACACACACATATATGTATGTGTGTTATGTGTTTGATTTCAGCTTAATTACATTTTCAATTAAAATAGTAGTAACGAGTAATTTCCCCGTCACTGGTACTTGTAGCAATAACGAGCACTTGTTGTAATATTCCATTCTTTGTAGGTATTAAAAGGATTTGGCAAGGACTTTGAAGGGATTAGTGGAAATTCAATTGTGTATCGAATAGAATTGTTGATGCGCAAGAGTTACTAAATTATTAACAGCATGTTGTGCATCAATTACAGTTTTCTATATTTACTGCCACACTTAAATGGACTAATTTTAAAGTACCCACACCATCCACCCCCCACAATACAAGATAGAATAGAAATGAAATCAACATAATGATGATTACTCGTAAAATGTTGATGAAGTTTGTTGAGGAATATGGAATTTCCATTTTATGTTTGACGGTAGCAAATCATGGAGTGTGCGCATTTAATGTGGGTTATTATCTGCTTATAGAGCGACAGTCCAAAAGGAAGGTGTAATTGGGGGATGATACGCCATATTGAATATTTCATAACTTAATGAAGTTGTTATGTTCGTATTACTTAAAATAAGCATTTGCCTTTTGGGCTAAAACTTTTACGAAACTATCTTTTTACGCTCATTTACATGTTTAATACTAAAAGGCATAGTTTTGTCTGTCATTAGTATTAATTTATAAATAAATGAACATGTGTTTCATAAAGTGTATCTATTTTGTGCCACATTATGTGGGAGTTGATTTGGCTTTCATTGTTATTTTCAACAAGCTCTCTTAAAATGTTTTCATAACTTTATTCTATTAAATATTCATATGATTTTCCGCACTATATGCGGTTCATATTATTAGTTGAGGAGTAACTGTTGGGAAGTTACTTCAAGTAGCAATGTGTGACGAATATCCGTTAAAATTATTTAACCTATTGAAATTTATTATATCATAACAAGTTTTAATAATTTATAATGAATTATTACCTTAAAATAAGATAATAATATCATTTAAATAAACTGTTGAAAACACTAAACTAAATTATAATATATTCATTGTTGAGTCATTGTCAAGCCTTTTAAAAGACCTTACAGTAAAACCAATTCTAAAAGAATATTTAAATAATTGATTTAATTCACTTACATATAAAACTGCTTATTAATAAAAAATATTACTAAATGAATTCCAGCACAAAGTAATTGTTTATTTATAAAATATTATGTTGATTGTGGTTAGATGAAGTATTCATCCTATATTCCCGACTTTAAACTAAATGTGGGATGATATCTGCTATGTGCTTAGATCGAGAACAACTAAATATACATACTTTAAGGACGAAAAATCTCAATAAGAATATCTATAATATTGAATAGTGAAGTATTTCAGGAAAGATTGAATAAACTTTAATACCATGGCATATGAGATATGACATGTGAGACATCAAATGGTAAATAAGAAAGTTTGGACACACGTGGACGTATTTATCAAGGGGACATTTATATATAATAATTTTTCAAATGATTTTCTATCATTAAAATTTGTTAATGTTGCGTAAACGGTTACGAAATCATAGTTTAAGATCTACATAAATAC